GTGGGATTGTTGGCAAAACCATTCCACAATGTTTAATGTCAGTTTTCAAAGCTATTAACTCGTGCTGTCAAACTCCGATATTAATATCAAGTCCTTTTTTTACTTTTGCTTCTTGAAGACAACATACATCAGTATTATAATTTTCAAAGTCCCGAGCCAATCTTTTTTATTGTTCTTAATCTACCATTCAATGTTCCGGTGGTAAAATATGTAACTGGAGGTATTTACAAAGTTTTAAATGGGAAGATTCCAACTTTTAACGGCTGAAACCGGAGAAGTCATTACTTTCTACGATAATAGTTAAAAAAATAAATATTGCAAAATTATATTATTCTAACGTAAAAGCCCTGCCGCCGGCAGCTATGTCCTGTCTCCCCGGTGGTTCTGGCCGCTAAAAGAAAACCACCTGGTCCTCCTCTGGTGAGCTGAAGGAACCACCACTATTCGCCACGTTGTGAGTTTTTGATCCAAACAGCAGTGTCCCGATCCTTCAGAACGGTCCGGTGTTAAAGGATGAATGGTTGGGTTTTACGCTAAAAGGAATCGCTATTAGTGCAGAAAAAAGTTCTTGTCGTAACCGCAAGGACATAAAAAAATAAGCAACACTATCGGTTCCTGTACAAAGAGCCTTTTAAGGCTACTGCTTTTATGTCACTACCAAAGAAACTGCACGAATACAAAGTGTCTTACGAGATTCACTCGTTTGGATCGGAAAGTCACAGAGAGAGAAGGACGATTATTATGCTGATAGGAATTCAACTGATCTAAGGGAGGTAATTCGTGGATCTTCGTCTGCATCCTACGATATAGCAGTCTGCTTTCTCACAGCTTTGTTGACGAAGTTATCTGGATTCGTACGGGTTCTATTTCTATCTCTTGGTTCGGATCGGTCTTCTTGACGCAGGACAAACAACAGACCAGACCAGCAAAATCCAACAAGCCGTTTTCTGCCGCTTCTCTCCGCTCTCTGTCCGCGTTCTGTTTAGCTCAAGCGTGCAGGCGGCTTATATAGAATTTTAATATGCAAATCGCCTTGACCACCATGTGTTTCCGTCTAATCTCCGAATCTCTGCGGGCAACCAGTTCTCAAGTGGTACTAAAAATGAATTTGGATTCCCTGCTGGGTTTTCCGCAGACATCATATACTTAAGCCTTGCGAAAAGCACTTACTCGTCTAAGGACTTTGGCTGGATTTCGCCCTGCAGACCACCCAAAATCCAATTCACCATTTATCACAAGCTTGACTTAACGAACCCGTCCATTAATCACTCTGAAATTAATTCACCTAATTAACTAATAACTCAACCCCAGAAACAATTAAAAAAAAAGAAAAACTTATTTCTGGAATTACTCCAGAATCCCTTCTACCCAACTAATTAGTACCGTAATCCCAATCCTTTAGAACTGTTGTTTAATAAGCCTACCTGGTGGGGGTCTCTCTCTCTCTCTCTCTCTCTCTCTCTCTCTCTCTCTCTCTCCCTCTGTGTCACATTATTACATAACATAATTATAATAATATAACATACAGTTACATTATTATGACATTGTATTACATTATAACACTGATGTAACGATGAAGGTTTGTACATTGTTGAAAGTCGAAGTTTGTCGGAGGTGCTTTATTCAAACACCATGAGATTTCATGAACCAGAGCATTGATTTTCCTGTAGGAATGTGAAAATATCGAAGAAAAAGTTCTAAAATCAAAGGAAAGGAAAAGAACTTAGGAAAAATTTCAATGTTTAATATGTTTAATTTCCGGCGCATCAAAATCTTCATTCGTGTTTGAATTTCAGGAAGATTAGATTTCTTATAGAACCACTCCTCGTCACGCACGCAGAGCTAATTATATGCCTATTGTTTTCTCAAGGAAAACCCTGAAACGCAATAATTTTATTTTTAGATAGTTGCCTAGTGCATATTTGTTGATCATATTCTATGAGATTTATCTGCAAAGAACAATAGAATTGTTGCGGCTTGTTTTTTTAATAACACTACTGCTACTATCACTACGACTAACAATAATAATTATCAATCTCATCCAGAAAATCAGATCTCTATTGTGTACAAGAAAACATTTTGTAGTTGATCTAGATTAAAAATGATAAAATATTTAGATTCTTGCGAGCACTGGGGTGATATGTAATCACTTTATCTTTCATGAAAGATAATATGTACTATTTGTATGAAAACCCAGTAAGTAGAAATAAAATTTATACTAAATCATTATTATTATTATTATTATTTCTTTCATTTTGTTGAATAATAATTTCCTTGCGGGTTCCAATCAGAAACCTAATGAGAGAAATGGCTTCATGAAATTTTCCACTAATCATTTTTTGTAGAAGATACAGACCTAACATCACATACATTTTACATAGATGAAGCTAATATATGAAATCTGATTAAGGTGATTCCAAAATGAAATGGACATACAGATGGATGATAAGACTTACTTTTTTACGGCTATGAATATTTCTTTGAGTTGTGTGAATATTCGCTTGAATGGCGTGTAGTCGTCGCTGACTGAGGTATTATCATGATAATGAGAGAATTCAGGTCAGGTGTTTACACATCCAACCGCCTGTCATCGACGGGTGATCTATGTCCAGTTGCTCACTGGGTCTTTGCTTTGTGTGTTTTTATTGCCCCCGAAATCGGTGTATATATATTTATCCTGGTCACGTGAATAGTCCCAAACTAAAGCTTTTTGGTTTACGCAGGATAGCACCCAGCAACCAGTTCATTTGGTGTTCAAAAGTACGGACGTTATCGGAAGCATAGCACGTAACTGTACTGTCCAATCAAATTCACCGAAACAAGTTATTTAATTTTGGATCCTATTCACTGATTTTTACAAAAGTTTTTGTTTTAGTAATTCTGATCCTATTTATGTGTGGGCGTTTCTTACTCATTTGTGCTTCACCTATTGGTTGAAAAATATAAGATTTTATATTCTATAACATCATATCTGACAACAAGTATAGAACAATTCAATTCTCTGATATTCCTCGAAATAGACCTGTTTTTTAATTATGATATTTTGATTAGAATTCCGCTGGTAAATGAACATAGAATGAAACCTAACAAATGTAGATTTAATGATTTTAAACTTATTTTTATTTCAACGTTCAGTAAACTTGTGGTTAAAGAAAAATGAAAAATTCACAATTTATATAAAAATGGAAAAGTACAGAATCATTTTGGTTTGCCATATGAAATAAAAGCAAAAAGATAAAGAAATAAAAAAGAAGTAAATAAAAGAGGCCAAAAGGTCATCATTTCTACATGTAGGTGAATAAAAGAGATTGTCAAACGAGTCACACCTCACTGTGAATCAATCAGAAATCAAGAGACTATTCTGAAATGAAATCCTTTGTCTTTGAAAAATATATAAACACAGAGACGAACAGATATAAAGGCACCAGAAAGTCGATTAAATAAATTGACTCGTTCTTGCATACCCTATTTTACTTAAACCTTAAAATCCACAGAATCGAAAGGGGAGCAACTGTTACCGACTAAATACATGAATGCATACATACACATTAACATTGTAATGACTCACTCACTCTCTCTTTCTTTTTTATACATATGCTAAAGAACTTAGACGTTCAACACGAGAACCTTCCATATGAACTTATGAACTCTTTAAATACTGCATGTTTTAACGTTTAACACATAAAATTGTATCTTTTATATCTTTTTGTTAAATATAACGTTGTTTGAACTAATTTTCTTCTCATTCATTTTTACAAGACCAGAAATATTTGGCTATTTGGATAATGACGTTATCCGAAGATAATCAGCTGGAAACCCACAAAACACCAAAAGACACATTAAATCCAATATCATATATCCTTCATAAATATCATATATCCTTCATAAATATAAACCAATAATCATTAAATCCCACAAACTTATATATCAAATTTACTATTCATTTTTTTTTAATTTCCGATATGGTTTTCATGCTTGGTTCTCTGAAAAACATGATTCTTCTTGAATAAGGAATCAATATTTACTCATAAGCGGAAGCATATGCGTAATATGTGATGATTGATCGATTTGTTTTTACGTTTTATCAACATTTTTTGCTTCTGATTATTCCATTAAGAATTAATATTTTCAAGATACAAATCCTACTATTTAACCTATAGATGAGCGGAATAGATCGATTCATACATTTTTCCAAGGGTAATTGTGCGTGAATGAATGCGAGAAAGTAAATTGAGGTGGCTCTCGCTGATCAGCCAAAAGTGATCCCATTAAGTGGTAAACCTGGCCTTGCACTTTGAAAGTAGGCATCCATTCCCCCTCACTAATAGACTTCACACCAAAAGATGTCATCTGGAAGCAACAGTTGTACTTCCGTATTGCTTCAAGAAAATGCGTTGACTCCGAAGTTGTACCCAGAAGGAGGTCCCTAAGAAGCTGGGGAGGTTCGTCTAGAGAAGGGAGTTTGATTTTGCCCCCAGAGCAACAAAGCCCAGGTTGCTCACCGGCCCACTTTTTTGCGTTGCAAAAAGTGCAAACTTTATCCATGGCCCCTATTTGTACGTCTCTCCTAGCGGAATAGTTGACAGTGCAGTTATAATTGTATGCGGCATTTTACCAAAATGACGCAGACAGCGAAGTTACGCCATTCAAAGAAGCTGACAGATGCCGTAGAGCGGGCATTTCTAACGCGACGAACAGTGGTCTGTGCATGGCTTTCTAAGGCTCTGGCATACGCGGTGAAGCGGGCATGTCTAACGCGACGAACAGTGGTCTGTGCAGGGCTTTCTAAGGCTCTGGCAGACGCAGTGGATGGAGCATTTCTAAAGCGACGATGAGCGGTTTCTTGGGGTTGTTCCGAAGATCTAGAGGCGGCTGTAGCCCTAGTATTCCTAAGACGACGTGAAGTTGTTTGTTCGGGGCTTTCTAAACCCCTGGAGCAAGCTTTGGCGGTGACATCTCGCAAACGAGTTTTCTGTGCTGCAGACTGTGAAGCCCTCAACCTAGCCACGTGCGTCCTGTGAATTCTGAAGTGAACGTTCTTCAACTGAAAGCCTGGCGCGGCGTGCGGATATGGTTGAAGCCGCTGAAGACAACCTTACAGTCCGCGCAGCAGCGCTTTCCGTAGATAAGCGAGCAGCTGAGCTCGAAGCTATCCGTGAAAGACGCAAAGAAGTCTGTTCAGGGGTTTCACTCGCCCTCGCCGCTCTATCAGCGGGGGGAAGCTGCCGTGCGCCGTCCCAAAAGTTTCCTCCTTTTAGGTGGCATCCAAACAGTAAAAACGTCAAAGAGGGTAAAGCTTAAAAAGAGATTTCGACAAATCCAAAACGAAAAAACGTGTACTGCTAACGTAGACAGAAAAAGGGGAACACCCAGTAAAATGTGTTCAGATGTTACTAAAGGGGAACTCGAAACTAAAAGTGGAAATTGATGTTACTAAAGTGGAAATTTGAAAATGTAAACCAAGGGTAAATCCAAAAGGAAATGGGTTTTTAGTACAATTGGCTAACGTGTGTGGGTTTGGGTTGGAACTATAAAACAAAAAAACAGCTAGAACACGTAACCAACAACTTGCAGTGTCCGAAGTAGGCAAATAAAGTTAGCCAAGTGCGTGCAAGCGGGCAACAATAAACACAAAAGTGTGAAAGCACGCCCGAGTCACGCAATAGAAGTTGTTGACCTTGAGCGCACTTACACATAAGCTGACGCGCGATCACGCGGGCGCTATAACATGTGAGAAATCCTGCTCGATGATTGGACAGGCCTCAAGGTCAAGCTCTGTGAAAGCGACCAATGGGCTTGCAGCAGTCTCGGTATCGACATGCGGACTCGGTTGTACGCAGCTGTGTGTGTGTAAGGAAGTTACAAAAAAGATTGATCCGCGTGCAGCTACGGTTATTTTTGCTTAAAAGTTCTGAAATTTGACACACATAAAGGCGATAGTAAGCCGCAAGTGTGTTGTAAATTTCATTTGAATCAAACCAAAACTGTACATACTGTGCCAGTGAATGTGTGTTCAGTGGGCTAAATCCTGTCCCTTGGTACCACCGTTTATGGTTCCCTGGTCAAGCGGTTTTGACAGTCTTGCAAACAATTTGGTACTTGTTAGATAGCCAAGCGTTAGTGCTATCAGAGACTGGACCATTTGCTTTGTTTTGGTGGTTCGGTACCAAAACATCGTCCAAAAACTGCAAAAAATCTGCATAAATGGTCCTTACTCGTGCTTTCAAATTGATTTCGTGCAAAAGCAATTTTGTTTTTCCAATTTTTGGCGCTGTCAGAACCACTGCCGGGTAATTTTACGTAGTCCTGTGAAATTTGTTGAAATCGGTTGAAAAATGTAGGAAATCCGATCCCATATATAAACGAACAGACACACACACACAACCTGGGTTTTATAATAAGTAAGATAATGATAATGAAAATCAGTAAGATATAAGTAAGATAATGTAATGAAAATCAGGAAGAGATTTCCAATGGCCAGGAATTAATGCGAGTGTTAATGACAGAACAGGTGTATTTTAGGTATAATATAAATGCATTGCTGATGATTATACTATAGGAATTAACTTAATTAACTAAATTAAGAAGAAAGGGATTGTCAGTGGTTAGGAATTAAAGTAAGCATTACTGATAGATTAACTATGTGTATAATGTAAAAACATTGCTAATGATTTTACTATAGGAATTCACTGAAAATCTGAAAGAAATGGATTTCCAGTAATCATGAATAAATAAGAGTGTTACTGAGAATAAGATCTATATCTGATTTTGTAAGGAAGCTTTTACGAAGAAATTGGGGTCAAAGCCAATCTAAAACATTTCAGTTGACAAGGAAAATGTGGAATTTTCTGAAAACCACTTTTACATGATATAAATAAATACGACACTCAGCTTGGATGTAAGGAATTTGAATAAAGCCATAAAATTTGCTTTTTATTAGAATTGCAAATGTCTGTATTTCACAACCTGGTACATTTCTTTCTCTACTTTATAATTTTTTTCTTTGCATCGAAACGATTTCGTTCTTGAGACAAAGTTGCTGACTAAGCAACAATTTAGTTTGAATCTTGTACAAATAAGCTTATTTGTTTTGTTTTTTGTTTTTTTTTTTGTTTTTTTTTGTTTTTTTGCTTGTGTCCTTTTTATAAACTCTTCAATAATAGATAATCCGGCGGCTTGGTCTTGATTCATGGTTCACAATTCCATGAAATTAAATAAGCAACGTTTGTTAGATAAAATAATAAAACAGATAGATAGATAGATAGATAGATATGAACAGACTAAGATAGATAGATGAACAGACTGAGATAGATAGATAGATAGATAGATAGATAGATAAGGGTCTATCTAAATTCAAGCAATGCATCCAACATTACCTCCTCTACAAAAATGCCAGACTTTGTTTTCCGCCAGCGTGAAAAAAAAATGAAATTTATCCTATTAAAAAAAAAGTATCAACATTTTGTTCTCTTTTATTCGGTTATGTCACACTAATTTTCTTACTTTCTCTTCTTGCCTCAAAACCTGAAAGCAATTTTCTTAAAGTCATCAAAACTTAGATGCAATTTTTTTGTTCTTGTTTTCACGCTTTTTAAAATGTAATTTTCTCAAAGCAAATTCTTTATATTGTCCTAAAAGCATAGATAAGAATTAGTACTTCTAGATTTCTTTATTCAACCTCCAATTTGAAAACATCTAAAGAAAAATCTATTACATTTATTTCAAATATATAATTTTGACAGTCATTGTTTTCGAGTCAAGCAAAGCACACATATGCATTTGTAGTCAAACCTAATAAGAGTAGATACGAATTGTTTTTATATTTGTGTTCAATATTTTTGACTAGATTTACATGAAACTCAAATTAGATTCGCGCATCAAGGGTTTTATGCTTTGTTTTATGCAACCTACGCAAGATAAGTCACTGCTTTACGTTCATAATGTCTAACATACCTTCACATGCAAACAGGTAATTTATACAACGCGACAAAAAAGTACTTATTAATTTTAATGAAATAAAATCAAGTAAGAAATAATGTTTCTATGGAAATATTTTTTCAAATAGCTCTGTATATTTTCATGTCTTCCTGAATAAATTACAAGTGAAACACTAAAACGTAAAACTGATACAAAAATTGAACATGAAATCAATCGAACTCATCTTGGATATTATATATTAAAAATGGTTTGGTTATAGTAACCTTTGGCTTTCTTCAGTTTTTTGTGACGTTAAAATATGCAATGATCTCTGGAAAGTAGAAACATATAAAAGCAAACTTTTAAAATAATAAATCATTAAAACTATTATTTCTTAAAGCTTCGAATGCTAACGAAAATGTACTCGGGCTTTTCCGCTATCATTCGTGTCTTTCCAGAATTTTTCAATATTTTAACATTTAAGTCGAATGGAATCATCTTCAAATATCTGCTTGTCAGGAGAAATGTTAGTTTAAAATTCGTGTCAGATTTTAATATAAAAACAATTAAGATGAGAATAAAAATCAGAAATACTTTATTTAAGTGATAATACCTCATTTGAAAAAAATTCTGTTTGAAAATTGATAATGAAGTTAGCATATTTTCGGTGTATATGACGCACATTATTTACAAAGTAAGGAAATCTCAAATTCCTTATTAGAGCTGTATTCCGAATGGTGTAAATGCTGGAAATTTGACTTTTTGGAAATAACATAAACACCATTTATGAGTCACGGAGTTTGTTTCCTTTTTGGAAATAAATCCGAAAATTAGTGTCAAAGCTTCTTGTTGTTTTTATAGTTACGGTGACAGAACAAAATGATTGTCCCCAAAGAGGATATACAGTGCCCAACCGATCTCAATGTTTATGTCTGAATTTCTGGAATGAGGTGTTACATTATTTATATAATCCGTGACACCCTAGCTTTCGTTGGTGAATTTGGTGACATAGTAATTGTAAGTTTAATCCTTGAGTCGGGCAGTGTGTGCTAAGACTCAGTGAAAATGGGGCTAGCAGTAACTGAACAGTACCAAATAAGAACGAAACGGGATATCGCTACACACGGGCAGCGTATAAAGAACAGTCTACCCTCGTATATTAAATAAATGGTTCAGTGCAAAATTCGCCGAATCGACATACACCTGATGTAGGCCGGAGAATCCCCCATATCCAAGTAAAGTTGTTTTAAAAACGAAAAGTTAATATATTTGTATTGGTTCACGACAGATAAATAAACACGGGTACATTTTTCTGTCTGTATTTCTGGTACACGTGTATTTGCACTCATTGGAAAGGGTGAACAATAACTGAATAGTCTTCTTCTTTATGTGCCGTCTCCTCAGTACGTAGGGGATCATGGCCCTCCACAATTTCCTGTCTCATGTAGCTCGTAATAATTTTTGTCTTTCGTTATTTCTCCCAAACCTTGTTCTATCATCCATCTACTTAAGCTCATCAAATATGTTATGCACTCTTTTCTTCTGTCTCTCTAAACCTAACCCTAACCCTAACCCTGCCCACAATCTGTCTTGTGAGTATCAGATTTTCTAAACCCTCCTTTCTCATTATGTGCCCCAGAAATTTTAACATTTTCTTTCTGATGTTAAGTTAAAGTTTCCTTTTTGTTTCCATTTTCTTTAAAACCTCTTTGTTACTCTTGTGTTCGATCCATTGTATCCTCGTCATCCTTCTGTAGAACCCAATTTATGTTACCACAAGTCTCTTCTTCATCTTTGAGGAGGTTGTCTAGCATCCATTGCCATAGAAGAAGTCAGATATCACGTAACAGTTCAGTACTCTTTTCTTTGTTTCTAACAAAGATTTTTTCTATCTTAAGAGACAGGAATATTTCGCTAGAAACTCTGCTTAGCTTTTGAAATGTATCTTTGGCTATCCCAATGCGACTTCGGATTTCAGTGCCGCAATTTCCGTTCTCTGTAAGAACCCTTCGCAGATATTTACATATTTGTACTTGTTTGGACGACAATGCATTCTGTCTTCTTGCCGTTTGTGTTTAGTCCTTTCTTCTTGCTTTCCTTCACTAAATAAAAAATAACGGTCTGTCCGCGTAGATTAAATAAAGAAAATGTGGCACAGAATTAGACAGTCTGTTCATATCTATCTATCTATAGATAGATAGATAGATAGATAGATAGATAGATAGATAGATACGAACAAATAGAGAGAGAGGCGACAATAGAAGTATGGAAATAATTAATATTCTATTCATACAGCTGACATCCACCGCGTAACACCTTTACTGTCACAGTGAAAATAATGATTTTTTTAATTAACAATTTTCCTCTTTAGATGGATAAAAATCCATTTTTTCTCGTTAAGATCCCGTAAATTTAGTTTTAAATAGCAACATTCAAAAAATCTTTTTTAATTGTATTTTGACAGCTATCATGTTAGTCTGTAGATAAAACTATTAAAATTGGTGTATTTCTTAATTAATTTTAACATCGAAAATAAAAGTAAAATAAGTACCATTTTCTACATATAATAATTGTTTATTTTTAAAACACCAAAAAAGATAAAATTCTCTCCATTTAAGAAAAAATTGAAATTTCAGCCATTTATGAAGAAGGTACGCTGATTGATCGAAAGTGTCAAAAATGGTTTCACAGTCAGCTCGCCCAATCCAGTCAAAGCCTTATTTGAAAAGGATTATATGACGCAGAAGGTAGTTATTGAAAATATCCAAAGCAAGTGCTGAAAATTGCTTGCTTATGTTAATGATTTACATGTGTTGCTTCCATTTGTGTTTTCATATGTGATTCATTAAATGAAGGTAAAATGACATTCCAGTCTTTTTAAAGCAAATTGTGATAAACGATGAAAAGTAGATGCTTTATAACAATATGAAACATATGAGACCATCGGACAATCGAAATAAATCACCACAAACCTTATAATAGGCCATTTTTCAATTAATATTATGTAGTGAATAAGTTTATGGAGTCCTCTACTATTAGAGGTTCTTTCAGAAAATCAAAAGATTGATTCAGAATGGTAGTGCTCTCAGTTATACCGACTGAAAGATGAAAACGACTAAAAATACCCAAAATGAGTTACAAAGAAATTATGTCATATTCTATCATAATATCTCTGAGCCTCCTATTTTTTGGATGACCAAGCAGAGATTGTTACATCTTTACTTGTTCGCTGTATTCAGCAGACGTTGCAACTTTGAGTTCATATTTATTCGGATAATTAAAGAATTATCTTATTGAAAAAAGTTTTTCAATTCCCTGAAAAACGTGAAAAAAAACTTTAGGCTGTTATTTAAAGATAAGAATATAATAGTGAAGTTGCCTGAAAGTTGAAATATATGGTGAATATATATTTACACTATTTGTATTCGGACTATTGTCCTCATCTTTGTTGTTGCAGATCCGTCCTTCCGCGGATGTATAAGGATATGGAATTCGGAACTGAACCCTTTATTTAATCTACGGGGGTAGACTGTTCTCATTCTTATTTTTACTACTACTCAGTTATTGCTCGCTCGTTTCCACTGAATCCAACTACACATAACCCGAACCTGGGATTGAACTCACAGTCATTATGTCACCAAATTCACGAACCAACTCTTTAATCAGGTTATTGCCCAGTAGTGAACTTGGAGATGTAAACCTAGCCTAACAGCTGATTATTAATGCTGTTGCCTGTCATGTTTTGATTGATGCTGCTGCTTCTATTGAAGACTCATTGTCATTTGTCTGTCTTTCTTTATTAGTGCTAAATATAGTGTTAAATAAATTTAATATAGAAAAATGAAAAAAGTTTCGTAACCTGAGGACTGTCAGTAAAATATGATGTTCTTTCTCCTCGAAGTTTTATTGGTCAGAGTATAAATCTTTTTACAGAAGAGAATATAATTGGAAGAATGCCGACTTAATTAATAATTAAGACGTAGTTTCCTGAATTAAAATGGAGAGTAGCTCACAATTCTATCGCGTAGGAATGCGATATGGGCAACGCAAGAATAACCCTTTGATGATAGAAAAAGTGGCGAACCTGACCGCAAGAAGAAATGAAGGGTCGTCTGTGAATCTCGGTCCGAAAATAAACTCATTTTATGATGATAACAAAATCTACTTTTGCCAGCAGCTGTTTACAAACGAAAGATTATAAATGACAGTTCGATCGAAATAGGAATGAACGAATTCGTATCGATCACTATTTGCATTTCTGTAGATATGAGTTTTCATAACTATCTTTAATCTTGTCACAGCATCGTCATGCTGTCATATATATATATATATATATATATATATATATATATAGATATATAGATATATATATATAATATTCAAAACACCAGTTAAGCAACGTAGATCCTGGCCAGTACCTAGATGGAGGTCTGCTTGGGAATACTAAGT